CTCTTGGCTTTTGCACCTGCTGTCCTGTCTTCCTGCCTGCACCCGTGGCTGTCTGCTACTCAGACTTCACATGAGGTCAACTGAGAGGTCCTCTATAGATGGGACAGGGTCCTCTCTATGACCCCCATAGCAATCTCTACTTCACCTCTTACGGCAATGCTCACCCTTTGCTGTAATTACTTGCTTAACTGTCTGTCTGTCTGTCTGTCTCTTCTAGAACCTAAGCTCTGTGGAGGTGATGACTTGTCTACATGTTCAGCACCATCTCCCCATGCCCCAGCATAATATCTAGCACACAGTAGAGGCTAATACATATTTTTTGACCAAATAAAGGAATGTCTTACTTATTTTTCTTTTAAACCTTGAAATGAAAGGAACAAGTATAAAAATAATGCTGAGCAACTTTAAAATCATTTTTAGTATTTCACTTAAAAAATAAAATAGCATTTTTTCTTTAAGTTATGTTCTTGGTTTCTTACTATAATTCTTATTTCCTAGGGCCATTTTGTTTGGTTTTGTTTTACAGGATAGTTATAGTGGATTCCTACTGGGATACCTGCCAAATCCACGAGTCAACTCTACTTTCTTTGGAAAATGTCGCCATTTGCCTCAGAGACTAGGTTCTCTTCCCCAGGACTTTGGGACTGAGATAGACGGTAGACAGTCTCTCTGAGTGGGTATGACTGCAGCACGTACATGCTGGAGCTGTGGGGCAGAAACAGTTTAGCACAGGCTCAGAGAAATCTGGTTTGCAGAGAAAGAGAGAGAGAAAGAAAGTCCTGACAATCTTGGACCCCCACAAATCTCAGTCAGTCACTTCCAGAAGCCTGGTCAGTACCTGACCTTAGGTCCTCTATTAGTCAGTTTTCTGTTTCTTAGAACACCTAACACTGGGTAATTTATGAAGAAATGAAATTTATTTCTTATACTTTGGAGGCTGGAAAGTCCAAGGTCCAGGGGGTGCATCTGCTGAGTGCCACCTTCTTGGTTGGAACTCTACAGAGTCCCTTGGTGACCAGAGTATTACAAGGCAAGAATGTCGAGAGCTAGAGAGCCTCACTGTGCTCACCTGTTCTACTTATCAAGCCACTAAACTATTAACCCATTATTCCATGAATTAATCCATTCATAAGAGTATTCCTCACAACCCAATCACCTCTTAAAGGACCCTCCTTTTAACTAGTGCCATAGTCTGATTTCCCACCCTCTTACCACTGTTACAATTGGGATCAAGCTTCAATAAATTTTGGGGAGACATTCAGTCCACAGTAGGATCCCTTGAGATTTTCCTGTAACCTTAATGTAAATATCCCTTTTTATGGCTTAAGTCAGGTTAAGGTGCGTTAATTCCTTAACAAACGTGATAATATATTTTAAATGTAAGTCAGTAAGGTATCACTTTAAATACACAGATAATTTCCACAAAATGTAGAGCAGTGCATGAAAAATTAAATATTTTTCAATGGGCCTTCCTGAATTTTCCAGATGTGACCAGAGTACATGGTGTGCCCAAGCATAGAGATGGCAGTAACCACACAAGCAATCTGGAGAAAAGAGCCACTGGTTGGCTTATTCTTTCCTTGTAAAAAATAAACAGAATGTCAGAACTTAGTTAATGGTTTTTTGCCAAAAGAAAAAAGTACACCTCTGACTTTCATAGACATGGAGCAGAAACACAGAGATTCTCGGGCAGTATTTTTCAAAGTACGGTTCCAGGTAAAAACACAAATCTCTGCACCCCACCCCAGAGCAGGTAAATCAAGATCTGAATGGGCACAATGCATTCAGCCTGTATTAACAGGCTCAACAGGTAACTGGCATGCATGCTAAGTTTGAGAACACTGCTGTAAAGCTTATTTCCCTAAAACTCAGCAGTGCGGTTTGAGGCCCAGCAGCAATGGTGGTACCTGGGGGCTTGCTGGGAATGAGGAATCTTGATAACTTTGCCACTTGACCAACTAAATCCGGATCTGCATTTAAAAAAATATGCCAGGTGATCTGTATGCACATGTAAGTGGGGAAAACACTGCTGTTAGGACTATTTCCTAACATGGTCATACCCTGGAATCACCAAGGTCACTTAAACACATCACTATAGTCTGAACTCCATCCCCTGAGATTCTGATTTATTTGATCTGAGCATATGGGTTTTTTAAAACTTCCCAGGCGATTTTAATGTGCAGCCAAGGTTGAGAGCCACTGCTTATAAAGGATGACTACATACATCCTAGAAGAAGGAAATCAATTTGTTGAATGGATTTTGAGACTCAGAAAGCACAAAAATCTGAAAGACAAATTTCTTTTGATTTGAAAGAGAAGGACCCCAGAGAGAAACAAATTCGTTTTTCTTTTTAAGTTCCAAAAAGGACTGGCTTGTAAAGTCACAAGACAAAACATTCCTCAAAGACCATGGAGGAATAGAACATAGAGTTTATAAAATGAATTATAGGGTTTGGAAAGCATGCCACCCAATTACCTCTGGGGAAAGAGCGGGCTTTCACTACTTCCCAGGCAAAGCCTCAGAAGACTGCAACCCAATTACATGCTGGAGCAACAAGATGCCTGGATGGAAAATTAGCAATGGCTAAAGGAAATCTCGGTGGATTAGCCTAAGGGCAATCTCAGAAACCTGAAGACCCCGACCTGGAAGTATCTGAGTCCCAATGGTGGCACAGAGGCAGTTGCTGAGAGTGGACCAGAAAAGGCCAAAATAGGGCAAGGAGGGCCCGGGACACAAGGCACTTCTGAGCAGAGGTCAATACACCAACTATGGAATTAGCCATAGAAGCTTGAGGGACTGAACCACCCTTATATTAAATAGATATTATAATATACACCTTTATATATATTATATATTATAAGCCATAGGCCAATAACAGCAGATGACATGCTTGGGCCAGATGTCCCTTTGCAATCCCTGGACAAAAGGTACAGCCCTTTCTATTCCACTCCTTGGGAAAATGGCTGCAGAGGGAGGAGAGAGAGTCTTGAATCTGATCAAATATTTGTCCAAATAAGACTAAGTTTGAATCTAGAGGTGACTGCAAGATTAAGGTTCTCTACCATGGTGGAAATGGAAGCTTGAGAGCTAAGTGGAATTCATTTATAGAAAAATGAGGAAAGTTACATGTCTGATTTTTGAAATATGCCTGCCAATTTCAAATCCACTATACTAGATAAGGGAATCCAGTCACCTGCTTATAAGGCAGTTTTCTTCTTCATAGATTGCTGGGGTCTTGGTGTCAAGATTGAAAGGCTTCTTTGAGTGGCATTCTTTTTGCAAGAAGATAAGGATCAGGGGGAAATGTTATAGGATCATGAATCATAAGACATCTATATTTTTATTTGAGAGGCAGAATTGGGACCAGAACCCAGGCCTCCTAGGGGATGCATGGGTGAAGCCTGAAGGCCTGAAGACTCTTGACGAATAAGAGTTCAACTAAGTGGTATTAGTGATCCTGCCTTACTTAAGAACATTTACTTTAGATACAGATGGATCCACTGTGTTAACATCACTGATTACTACAAACTGGATCAGCCTCAGCAGATAAAGTTATGGACTAGCAAATGACCTCAAATGAACTTTTTCTGATTGGTAGGAAGGGATGAAGAAGACATAATTAAGATGAGATCAATTACTAATATTGTGCTTACTTCGGCTTCCCTTCCCTGTCCAACTTTTTAAAAAAAATTAAAAAACATTTTTTTTTCTTCCTGAAGGGAATATTCCTTGAGAGAAAAGTTGTTTCATGTTACTCTCCTTCCTGGACCTCATTTGGGACATGTTTCACCTTCAAAGGAAGTCGAAGGACTGGCTATCTGATTGATATGTCCTTTATTTCCTTTGCTTTGGAGAAGGCACAGCCTTTCTGTCAAGTTCCCTGGTACTAAGGGTGGGAAAAGGAAGCCTATGACAAGCATAATGAACAGCAATAACTTTCTAAATTAACTATTTACTTAAAATTGCAACCTAGGAGTTGAATTTCATTAATCGCCCAGCCATACTTTGGGTAGGAATCACCTAAGAAACCTAGATTTTTGAATTATTTAAAATTACTCCCTCTACCTTAAAAAAAAACAAAAACAAAAACAACTAACCATCACTGATTAGACTAGTATGCTATAACCTAAGAAAATAAATTTAACTGAGTGCACTTGAAACTGCCACATGTAGAAGGCATTAATATACAATATAATGCTGAATCCACTTTAAGCCCACTAGGATGTCTATGTAGTGTCCTGAAAAGTTTCTGGAAAGTTTATAAGAATATTTTGCAATATCCTTTTTGCCTAATCCCAGCAGAGAAGAAAAAGCCAAAAGATTGAAATTCATGATGTATATTTAGGCAGTCAGCTTATTGGACTGCTGCCCAAACCAAAAAAAGCTCTCTATATGGAAAATTTCCAATTTGGGGAGGGGCTGGTAGAAAGAGACAAGGTTTTTAATAAATCGTTGAAGCTGTCAGTTAACTATTAATGATTTCTAAGCATTTATTGAAATCATCTTAAAATAACCAACATAAAAGTGAAAACCAAACCATAAAAACAAGAAGTCTAACACTCTCTGCTAAAAACTCTGATTACTGAAATAATCCTTTCAGACAAATCCATGTTTTTAAATAGCATGCACAAAACATGAATTACCTAGCTGGGCTTTGAGATTTCCATGTACCCTCAATATGAATTAGCTAATCAAGAAGAGTCTTTGATTCTTTTCATGAGCCAGTTTTTTCCCTCCACTTTAAAATATTCTACCCATCTTAATACAGCTTTTAAAGCCATCTCGCCTTTCTGATATTGTCTCTTGACAGGAAAGAGAGTGTTTGTTTCGTCCTGCTTCAAATTCTCATGAAAGTCACTCTGCAATCACACAAAAAACCTATGCTATGTTTAAGTTGACCTCTGTCTTTATGAGAGCACTGCTTATGCATGATGCATTTTCCAGAGAACAGACTCGTTCCAGGAAGTGGACTCATGTGAGAAAAGAAAGAAAACCTTACCTGGGTAATCATTCTTGTCTATGTCTGAATCTCCTCTTAAAGTAAAGCCAAATCCGGAAGGGACAGCCTGCGAGGCCCACACTCCTTGCAGAATCTGCGAAGGCTTGGTGTTTAAACCATCCTTGTTCCCATTGTAAATGAGCACTTTGCCTCTTTGATCCTTTCCTGCAAAGGGCACTCCGACGGCGATGTCTACAAACACATTTTTCAAAATAAAGAAGAATATTTTAGAAATAGAGTTAAGTAGAACTGAAGAGCAATACCATAAATTCCTAAGGGCTTATTCTATTTTCTATGAAAAACCCATAGTACTGCAGCCATGATAAATTATTTATTGTCTCTTATCCACCTACAAATATTTCCCAAAAGCTTACGTGCCAGATACAGTGGTACAACAGGACATCAGACACTCACAGCCCCTGCTTTTGGAAAATTTATATTCTAGTGCAGGTAATAGACAATTTGAATAGAGAAATAATCAAGAAGATGTCAAAAGTGATAAACACTATGTAGAGAATCTTAAAAGTATTGATACACTGGACAGTTGTTGGATTGTTGCTTTTAGATCAGGTGGTCAGGCAACATTTCTCTGCGGCTGGCATTTAATCTGGAATTGAGGGACAAGAAAGATCCAACCACGTGAAGACCAGAGAGAAGAGCCCTCCAAGCAGAAGCAACCGCTGCACAAAGGCCTGAAGGAGGAAGGAGCTTGGCCTGCTTGAGGAGCAACCAGGGGATTGTCTACCTGGGAGCTCAGTGAGTGAAGGCAAGAGCCAAGTCAGACCACAGATCACAGGGCAGGTGCGCCAGGTGAGGTACCTGTGCAGAGTACCTTGTTCAAAAAGATTATATCATTTAGTGGTTACTTAGTCCCATGAGGGAGGAAAGATAATTCTATAGGTGAAAATACTGGGAAACCTAAAGAGAGCAATAACAGCTGACTCCCACTTAAATATGCCACTTACCTTCCCCCTCATTTTGTCTGTCAGGATTATCCTGAACAATAAACGTAAATACTTAGCTGTATTTGAAAAAGAATTCCAATAACACAATAACATAATAGTCCACCATGGTGGGTTACTCTGTGTGTCCCATTTACCACTCCTTTGTTTCTCTTTGTTTTTAAGTAAGTGTGAATAATACTGAATGGATGGTGACTCAGTTTGCATTACATTAATGAGGATTATATATCCACTTTTGTATTTGAAAAAGAATTCCAATAACACAATAACATAATAGTCCACCACGGTGGGTTACTCTGTGTGTCCCATTTACCGCTCCTTTGTTTCTCTTTGTTTTTAAGTAAGTGTGGATAATACTGAATGGATGGTGACTCAGTTTGCATTACATTAATGAGGATTATATATCCACTTTCATTTAATAGGTAAAGATAAACGATCTAAAACTCAGATTGTTGTAGAAAATAAAGACATTGTCACGTGGTGGAGAGGAACACTTTCTTCCCTTCCTCTAAGCCAGTGACTTTAAATCCGTCCCCTTGCTTAACCCCAGTTAGCTTGGCATTATTTTATCCACTTTATCCTCAAGGACACTAAGGCTCAGAGAAGCTAAGAACCCCTTTTATGTCATTAAAAACGCTTCTCTTATCTCTCGAAAATTTCATTAAGGGTTTGAGAGAAAAGATAAATGGAAAAAAATAAGATGAAAAAGACAACTCCATAGATAATTTAGCATTATTTATTTCACTTGGGTGATCTGGACTACTGCAGTTTTGGAAAGCAGAAAGTTAACTACAGGTGGACTGAAATTTTTTTTTCTATTTCCCTGAAACCATAAGCTTTTAATGTATACTTACATTTTATGGTATTTAAAAATTACTAACCATACATTTCTGAGAACTGCCAAAAGTACTAATGAATACTTTATTAGAGCAAATGTCTGTTACTTCCTCAACTTCAGTCAAGAAACCCACTATACCTTGGTTCTTAACTTAAAGATCCTGAAAATGTATGCAAAATTTTGTGTGAATGTGCATGTATTCCTGAGGAGAGCCTAGTTGGAAGGCAATCATAAATTCCAACTTAAAGAACCACAAGCCTAAACTAAGAATTTAACACTACTTTATTGCAAACATTGAAATTGCCTTTAAACTGAAGTTTACAGATCAATAAAAATTCAGCATAACCTATACATAGCCCATATAGGTTAATCAGAAGGCAATACACTTACTAATATATCAACATGTATTTGTCTTGACTTTGTACATATAGAAGATTCTCTAGTTCTCTTCAAGTCACCAAATCCAAACAACAATTTTAGAAATATTTGTTGCCACTATTGAGAGCTGGTATAGGGCAGCCTAAATTGAACATGAGAAAATTTCCATGTGACATCAATATTATTCAAAACACAGAAATTTAAAGTTGCCTTGAGATTGTTGTTAGTTTATTAAAAACTAACAATAATAATAACTGTACTCACATACCACTGGGAATACTTTAATATATCTGGTTTCCTTTATGCAACAGTAACATGAAATTATGACATATAAACCCCTTGTAGATATTGGTTTAAATTACCATTGTATCCATCTTGGTTCAGGTCTCCTAAGTGTGCCACAGCACTCCCGAATCTCCCAAAAGTCTCGGTGCCTGTGAAGACCTGTGGGTCTCTGAAGAAGAGAGCGCTCACTTGCACATACAGGTAGATTTGTCCTACTTCTCTAGGGTTACTCTCAAATTCACGTTCCATAAAAAGAGGTGCCCCAATCAATATGTCATCCATTCTGTAGGGAACAAAGAGAGAAGTCATCACACTGGCAGATGTGAGATTCTTTTTTGGGTATTTTTGTAATCAACTAGATTAGTATATTTCCATTGGTATTTTTCCTTTTTCAAGGCTCATTTCACAATCATTATATCTCTTTCATTGTATTTTTATGTCTACAGAATAGAATGCTGTAAGAAAATAAGAATTGTTAAATTATCACATTGAAGTTTTCAATTATATTAAAAATGACTACTTTAAGAAAACCACATATATTTCATACTGTGCAGCTTTTTAGTTCATTTTCAGACATAGTAGTTGCACAAAGAAAACATACCAGCAAAGATCTAATACATAGGTTTTCCTAAAGATAAATTAGTTTGTCTATAATTTGTGTAAGTGTACATTTAAATTATGTAGCTTTCTTTCAGCAATAATGTTTGAAGTCAATGTTGTTCTTCCCTTTCTTCTAGTTACCTCTATTTAATTAAGACAGAAGCAGAGAGGTACTTGAGGCTGGCTAGAAAGACAGAAAACAAAATTTTCATCTCAAATGAAAATTTATAGTTATTCTTTGTACATGCAGATTATAGCAGAAAACTAATAAGTAATTTTTGAGGTTAAAAAAATTGGAGAAACAGACACCTAAGCAAATTATTTAGAGATAAAGACATAACCACCAGTAGCATAAAAATCAAGTGATTAAAGGTGTTTCCTTCACAGAAAAGACGGGCATGAAGAGGAACAGGGCAGGAAACTGTTCTCTTCACCATGAGCCTTCTAAGCTACTTCATTTTTTGAAAAACATATGCATGTATAATATTTGTTTTAAAAATTTTGAGAAGTCACATTAAACAAAACAAAAATTTGATCTATGCTAACGAACTCTACTAGTGTTCATCTGCAGACATCCCGCGTACCCTGGCAGGTGAAATAATCTGAAGGATGACCTGAAGCAGGAATATGAATTTGCAATGGACATTTTTTTTTTTACATTTATTTTTGCATTTGACTTTTAGGCCTGTGTTGACTAGGTAATATACTGAAGTTTGCCAAGTAAACTAATTACTAAAATCATTAAATCATTTAATCATTATATATTATTAATGTATATTGATAACACATATAAATGTATATCAATAATATATTACTATATTAATATATGCAATATGTAATAAATTAATATTTATACTATATAAATTAGTTATATTATATTATATTGATATATTATATATTAATAATAATATAGTAATGACAGTAATAATATAATATATAATAAAAGCAATAATATATTATCAACACATCAATAGTATAATATATAACAAAATTAATGACATATTATGTATTGATAATACAAATATATTTAAATATTAACAAATTATATGTGATATATTTCATATCATTAATATCAAAAGGCAGGGATGAGGTGGAAGCAATTACTGAGAGCAGAAAACTTCTTGTAAGATCTGAGCAGTCTGCAAGACACTCTGATATTGCTGTAACCCACCCTCTCTCTGACTTCTCGCCTTCCAAAGGTGTTCATCTATTCTCTATGTCTCAGTCTGAGTCAATAGATATGCTTCATGCTGGGGATCCCAGACAGGGGAGAGGTTGGGTGTTTAGAGGGAGTTAAGGAAGGCCCCATGGAGGGGATGGCAGTGGACGTGGGATCCTGACAGGTGAATTCAGGGTAGGCTTTCCAGGTGGTGGTATTGTGAGCCAAGAGAAGGGCCCCTGAGCAGAAATCAGAGGACTATGAGTGGTCCAGGAGTGCTTGGTGCTAGAGGGATTCCAACTAATTTAATTGAAAAAGTAAAATATACCAAGAATTCTTAAAACTCAACAATATGAAAGAACAACTGTAATATATAACAATAACATATAATATATTCTTCTTATATATATATATACAATGCTATATATATTATTGTTGCATATAATCTATATTATATGTATATAATATACAATAAAAACAATAAGAAAACAAATAACCCAATTAAAAGTTGGTCAAAAGATCTGAATAGGCGCCTCATGAAAGAAGATACAGATGACAAACATATGAAAAGATGCTTAATATCATATGTCACTAGGATCGCAGATTAAAACAAGAAACCACTACAAATCTCTTACAATGGCTAAAATACAAAATGCTGACAGCACCAAATGTGGGTGAGAATGTAGAACAACATAAATTCTCATTCATTGCTGCTGGGAATGCAAAATGGCACGGCCATTTTGGAAGACAGTCTAGCAATTTCTTAGAAAGCTAACCATAGGCTTACCATATGATCCCACAATTTGCTCTCCTTGGTAGCTACCCAAATGTGTTTAAAACATATGTCCACCCCAAAACCTGCATGCAAATGTTTATAGCATAATTGCCCAAATTTGGAAGAAACCAAGATACTCTTTAATAGGTGAATGGATAAAGAAAGTGGTACATCATACAATGCAATATCATTCAGCAGTTAAAAGAAATGAACTATCAAGCCATGAAAAGACTTGGAGGAACCTTAAATGCATACTGTTGAGTGAAAGAAGCCAATCTAAAAAAGCTACACACTGTACTATTCCAACTGTATGACATTCTGGAAAAGGCAAAACTACAGAGACAATTAAAAGATCAGTGGTTTGCAGGGATGGAGGGGAGATGAGAGGGATGACTAGGTGGAGCACGGGGGATGTTTAGGACAATAAAGCTACTCTGTGTAATACTGTAACGGTGGATGCATGACATTATGCATTTGGCAAAACCCATTAAATTTTACTACACAAAGAGTGAAGCCTAATGTAAACTATGCATTTTAGGTAATGATATATCAATATAGGTTTCCAAGTTATAACAAATGGACCACACCAATGCAACATGCGAATCACAGGACAAACTGGAAGAAGAAGAGAGAGGGAATATACGTGCACTCTCTGCACTTCCTGCTCGATTTTTCTGTAAACCTAAAACAGCTGTACAAAATAAAGTCTATTAATAATAATAAGGTAAGTGGAAAAGTAAGTTGAGTCCAGATAATATGGGGAAAACATGAGTTTTAGAATCATACTGGTCTAGTAACTAAGTGTGTCATTGAAGAAGTTACATTACCTCTCTAAAGTGTGGATAATACAGAAGAAATAGGCTACTTCATTAGACACATCACTTGAGATCTCTCTCTGTCTCTCTCTGTTTTTTTTCTCTCTCTCCCTCCCTTTATACAATAGCATTTAATAAATGGTAGGTAAAAGGAAGGCATGGGCTAGCTGTTGAAAGAATGCACAATATTTTTGCATTATACCATGTAAACAGAAAGAGTTCCTGTTTAAAAAGCAAAGCATTATTTGCCTCTCCCTCTCCCACCTTGTAGGAGGTAGAAACAAGGTGAAAAGTACCTTTGGGATAGTCTGGGGCTTAGAGCTACTGCTAGAATTAGCTCTTACCTGTCTCTCCACAGCAGGTGACAAAACATGGGGAAAGACATATTGAGCTGTTTCTGATTGACCAAATTGTGACAAGGGAGTGGGAAACTGTGGGAGAAGCAGACCTGAGGAATGACTGTTATTTTGGTCCCAGATTCCAAAATATAAGTTAGATTGCTAAACTTAAATATAGCATTTTTCTTTAAAATGTTCCAAATACGTTTACTCAAAAGAAAAAAGAAAAATTTCCTATTGCCTGTTATCCTGCTGTGCTCCAGGCTGAGAGGTGGCAGGGACTAGGGCACTTCCGGCACTGGCCTTACTGTGGAGGAGCCCTCGTTGCCTCTGTTTCTGATATCATTACCGTCAGTATGAAGATGCATTTGTTAAACACCAAATTGTGTGTACGGCCACCTTGTAGCTTTAAGGTAAGACACCTAAAGTCCCTTTCTCTCTATTGCAGAGATTTGGTGGGCCCATTTCCTTATGCTATAGAGAAGGAACAAAGCCATATAATTGGGCCCTGAGGGTCTGAGCATGACATGGGGCCGGCACAATCAGCTCAATACATTTCTCACTGCCAACACTATGTTCTAGAATGGGAGATGATTAGACCTGTCATTGTCAGAGACTAGCACAAGCCTGGAATCCTCAGCTTCTAGCAGTAGTACGACAGCATTGATTTATTTTCTTGGAAATATAGTTCCCTAGATACTTCAGTGTAAGTCTCCTAAAATGTTCTGAACTCCAAAAAGAGAAAGAGGCATTTGTTCTTAATTTATAATTATGTTCTCATAGGGTTGAGAGACAATAGCTGTCTTGGATTCAATTGGTACAATGTGCCTTGTAGAATATTTTGCACAGAGCGTAAACATTATTTTATATTAGCAATACCACTTAAGAGTCATAATATATATTATTGTTCAGACTGGTGTTTAAAAACTTTATTTGCAACCCATTAGTGGATTGTGAAATCAGTTTAATGGGTCTTAATCACCAATTTTTTAATGAAATAAAATACAATAGAAAATAGAGCAAATGTATTACACATAATAAGGGTAAATATTGTTCTGTGAAACTTTTGTTTCTGTTGTGTGTGTATGTGCGTGTGAGTTGCTTGTCAAATGTAATTCTTTGTATGGACCACAGGCAAAAAGTGGTTGAAAACAACTGCAATAGGCTATGTATGCCATTAAGCTATTTCAAAATTTATTTGTCAGATTCTTTTTTTGAATATATCCAGTTCAAGCTTAAACTTTAAAAATATTTATAAGTAAAGATGTTTTTCATTGACCTTCTGGTAAGTAGTTGCTGTAACAGGCTGGGTGCCATTCTAATAGAATATACATAAATATATACATAGAGATTAAAGTTACACACAAAAAAGAACAATGATGGAGAAATAATATTAATAATGTGTTTTTTTCTGGGTCATGTTGTTGGTTTGGATGAGATCTAAGTTATTAGGTAAAGGCATTTCAAAAAAGTAGGATATATACATTAAACTTCATTTAATTTGAAATGTCAAATGTTTAAGCACAGTTTTCTTCAATTCTTTGTCTTTTTTCTGTCTATATCCACTCTGATAATTTAATACAATGCAAGGCTCAATATCTCATCCTTCACATGTTGTTTGAGAGAGAACATTACAAATATTTTCCTCAAAAGCAAAGTATGTAGTGGTAAAGAAAGAAACCGTGAGAATGAGAATATTCAATATGAAGCGTCTGAATTCAAATTTTCTGCAGCCAAATGATGTTAATGTATTGCTTTAACATATAAACTGTTCTGTTTTTTTTACCAATAGTATATTTTGTATGCTAATGTCCATGATTAACATTTAGAATGTAGTTATTTATTAAAAGAATACATATTAGTAGACTGTATAGTAGATTTGATATGTAATCAACCTAATTGTTTTACGATAGGCAAGAACTAATATAACTTACCAATTACATTTTAGAAGTCAATTTAATTTACAACTTTATGTTTTAGTTTTCTAGATTTTCTACCTAATTCAATCCAAATGATATATTCTGTACAAATGAATATACTTGGACTAAATCCAGGATAAAAACATAGTCACTTAAAACTGTTTCCTTTCAGATATATTTTTCTCTAAATTGCTCTTAAGTTAACTAATTGCTAAGGGTCTATTTAAATTTAGCTCCTTTTTGCCTTGCAGAAGCCAGAAACAATAGGAGTGTGGAAAATGGATTAAATTACAATTCTGTGAATTTCTGAAATAGTATAAATACTATAATGTTCAAAAGCCACAAGGAAAAAAACAAAACAAAACAAGACAAAACAGATTTGCTTTCTTCAGCAGAAGATGAAAAATATCATCTCCATTTGTTGTTAACAAGTTTGTCCAGAAATTCTTAGCAAAGTTTACATTGACGGAGTTTGTAGTACTGGCTGTCTTAAGATAACTAAACTGAAGCTAATTTTGCCAGCTTGTTTATATTTTCTAAATCATCACAGGCTTGACAATATCAACCAACCACCAACCAGAATACATACAACTGTTGGTCTAGACTTTCGGAGTCCACTCATAACTACTGGGAGGTTTTTCTTAGTAAAAACATATTGGGAAAATTTCCACCAATTTATTTATTTGGTCATTATTTAACAACACTGTCTTGTCCCCCCTTCCCGATATTGACATTTTGGAGCATTTATAAGGGTCTTGCTTTTGTTGCATAATAGATATAGAAGATTTGTGTCGTCAAAGAATGTTTACTAGACAGCCTCATGCAAAATAGTACTTAATTATCTCTTAGTTGGAGGAAAAATGTCTGGTTCAATTCCATAAGTCTGTGTGTGTGTGGGGGGGGAGATCCTTATTATGAACCGTGAACAATCACCTAGCCAAGTGATTTTCTTAAATATATATACACAAATACATATACACGCACACATACATACACACACACACACACTGTATATGTCCTCACTACTGTCAATCTCAGACTTCGCTTGAGTTGTATAACTTTATCTTTCTTTGTCCAATCTTAATTGCTTCCAGAGCAAACTCATTTATAATAGGACCTTGAATTTTCATAACAGCTATATAATTAAAAACAGCAAGTTCCATACAGACTGAGAATCTATGGGCACTGTATCTTTAAGAACGATAATATTAAGTTAATGGATATATTCTTCAATGCAGTCTAAAGAATTCAGAAAATACTACCTAATGAAAAATATAGTGTCCATAGCAACTTTTTAAAGAACATCTAGAAAGTACAAAATGTCACTTGAAAATGCGTTTGTTACTACCATATTGTTTTGATCAGCAAGAAATGAATGAGGGCCTTTTCTCGCAAGTTTTTTTCTTACCATGGCAAAAAAATGTACCATAAACATTGTCACAAAACTTTGCTTTGCTATAGACTAGAATGAGCATATTTCCAGGAAGGAGAGAGTGCCCTGCAGGGCATATGGTAAGACCTGGGAAAAGTCGCAAAGATTCAATACAGGGCCCGTGGAAAGGAACACATGGAGTGAATCTGTGCCCTATAAAACCCTGCATGGTGCCCGAAGGAAAAAGCCCTGTGCTTGTTGTGTGACAGTCTGTTGAGGGAAATGTGTTTATGCATATCCAAAAGGCCACCACGGGATTTATTGTTTTCACTATAGAATGGGTTTACTAAATCTACATGTCATGATTTGGTTTCAAGTTCTTCTTCAGCTAATTTATTTCTAAATTTCCCAAAACCTTTGATAACAATTGCAGTCCATCCAAGTTGGAACTCCTGGAATGGCAATCCTAATGCTACTTTCTTTTCACAACTCAGACACCTGAAGATTAATGCAATTTAATTTTAAATCAACTGCTTCCAGGATAAGATTGGCATTCAACTATATCTTCAAAATATATCCAGAGTGCAGCTACTTCTGTTTTCCTCCACTGCCATTGCTGTGATCCAAGCCACTGACCTACCTCACCTGGAGTATGGCAATAGGCTCCCACAAGACTACACGCCCGTCTAGACTAGGCAGAAAGCACCTGCTAAAACCAAAGTCTGAGCAGGTCAGTCTCTTACTTGGAATCCTCCATGGCTCACAGCAGGTTGTATCCTTCTTGGAAAAAGACTCATTCTAGTCTTTGGCAAAGTCTACAGCAGTTTGGAACAAATGCAGTAGCCTCCACACCTTTGCGATCTAACTCCCCATTAACTCTGCACGCTTCTTTGCTGTTCCTCGAACATTCCAGGGGTTCCCACCTCAGGGAATTTGCATTTTTGCTCTTCCGCCAGGAACTTTCCTCCTCCATACATCATTGTGGCTGATTCCTCACCTCCTTAGATCTTTCGTGAACTGTAATATTTTCCCTGCGGCATTCCCGATCAACCCGATTTAAAATTGCATCCTTCCCAATACTCCCTATCTCCCTCTGTTTTCATATTTTGTATTTTAATTAATAGACATTATCTTTTAGAGAAGTTTCAGATTAGAAGGAAATTTAAGTAGAAAGCACAGAATTCTCACATTAACCACCCGCATCCCCTCTGTCTCCACAGCCTCCCCTCGCTATCACATCCCTGATCAATGTGGCACATTTGTAACAACCAATGAATCAATATCCACACGTCTTTATCGACCAAAGGCTATAGTTTACATTGAGTTCACTCTTGGTGGTGTACATCCCATGGATTTTAACAAATGTATCGTGATACATATCCACCATTATAGCATCATACAGAATAGTTTCACTGCCCTAAAAATCCTCTGTGCTCCACCTACTCATCCTTCCCTGAGAACCCCTGGCAAACACTGAACTTTTTACTGTTTCCATAGTTTCACCTTTTGCAGAATGTCAGATGATTGGAATTGTATGGTGTGCAACCTTTTCAGATTGGCTTCTTTCAGCTAGTAATACATGTTAGGTTCCTCCACATCTTTTCATGATTTGATAGCTCATTTCTTTTTAGTGATGAATAAAATCTTGTTGTCTGGATATATAAGTTTATTTATCCACTCACCTACTGAATGACGTCTTGGTTGCTTTCAGCCCCTTTTTTTTCATAGTACTGATCACCATCTAACATACTCTTTACTTTACTTATTTATTTTCTATCAGTAGCTCCCACCTTCCCAAGTCTAGTTTAACCTTCATGCAGTTAAGGATTTTTCTGCTGTATCCCAGTGCAGTGCTTATTACTGTGCAGTAGTCCAGTCGGTAAAGGACCACAAAGGTGGTCACACTGTGTAATGTTGAATATATGAATTATCCGGATTTGAGCATCACATATTGCACAAAGGTATTGATATTCAGTGCTGTACCTCACAGCTATGTACAATCAATTTTGTTTCAATAAAAAAAATTTAAAAAGAAATATATGGTCAATGAAAGAATATTTCAATAAAAAAATTAAACAGAAATATACGGTTAGTGAAAAAATTATAAAAAAACCATTTTCCAGAAGGTACAAAAGTTACTAAATTTATACCCAATTATTTGTCACAATGTAATAAAGTACATTTCTAGCTCTACGAAGGTCACACAAAATGTCTATAAAAGATGCATTTAAAGGGCTTAGTTCAGATCCTGGAACATAGTTGTAAGGCTTCTTCAGATATTTGCTTTCTATAAAAATGTGAGCTCTATAAGAACACAGACATGGCCTGTCTCATTCACCTTTGTGTTCTGGGTACCAAGAGCAATGCCTGGCATGCAATACGTCTTCCAATAATATTTGTTGGATGAATAATGAGTACATCTCAACCTAATAGTTTTCTTATTTAATAGTTTATTAATTTCTCTGTCAGATGTTTCTAGTAAATGGAAGAGATATTTAATAACAATGTATTTTTGAAGTAATGACTTCAAAATAAAACCATAATCCACCATGCTGTTTGGGCCAAGCTCAACTGTCATTTACTAACATAATCTGAAATATAACATTATTATTTCATCATTTCCGTGGGTGTTACTAGTATGTAGGTTAAAGCAATGTCAGGGAAAAAAAATCCATTTATGTGCAAATGTTTTATGAATGTGTCACATGCCAAGGGGAAAATACTAGGAGTGAAGACAGACAGATGAACAAGCTCCTCAATGGCTCTGGATTTTGAATGGCCACGTACTATTCACTCCATAAAATTAAAAATAAAACTAAATAGTCCTCTTCTAGAAGTAGCAGATGTGGAAAATATCAGTAAAGACATAAAATACAATGACAGAGAATTCTTTTAATAGACACATCCTCTTGCCATGAACTAAGAAAAGTTAAAACAAGAGAACCTCTATCTTGTTGAGGAAGTATGGGAGGATTTATTTTGTGAAGGCAAAACATAACATCTTTACGGACTGATATAATATACAGTGAATGAGGAAGGTCTTATAAACTTACCCGTCATTGTTAACATCTGATACTGCAATGGTATATCCAAAATAAGAAGCCATCTGTGAAACAAAACCATAAGATGACATATTTTGTGTTCAAAAAGTCATTTTTACAGTCACCTTTTAATTATTCCTGAAAGATTAAACTTATTGCAGTACATTTTTGCACTTAAATTCATTGACGCTCAGATGTGGACAAAGTCTTTAAGGCATTAAGTCCAATCCCTGACTCAGTGAATAATTTTCCCCATAATAACCCTGACACCTGCTTGGACATCCTCTGGAGATGTTAAACAATCAGCCCATTCAATTTATAGACACAACTACTGGAATGTTCTTTGCTAAATTTGGCCCTTCCATAACTTCTAGTCCTTAATTCCACCTAGTTCTGTAATTTTTAATCTCACAGAATAAATCTAATTCTACTTCCACATGAAGTCTTGTATGAAAATATTTTCAGATGATTCACCATCTGGCCCCTCTTTCTTAGAGGCACGACATGGAGTACCAGAGAACAGAAGATACTCGTAAGCGCACTGACAGGAAGAGTTAAGTAGGATTTACACTCTCTATTTTAGGTTCTACATATTATTGAAGCGTAAAAATGGTTTTAGATTTAGGGGAATCTACATAAAAGTACAGTAGTCCCTCTTTATCTGCACTTTCATTTTCTGCAGTTTCAGTTACCCATGGTCAACTGAAAATATTAAATAGAAAATTCCAGAAATAAACAATTCATAAGTTTTAAATTGTGTGCTTTTCTGAGGAGCATGATGAAATATCACACAGTCCTGCTGTGTCCCGCCTGGGACATGCACCATCCCTTTGTCCAGTGGATCTGTGACGTATACACTCTACCCCCCACCTCCGTTAGCCACTCAGTGGCCACCTTGGTTATCGGGTTGATAGTCGTGGGATCACAGTGCCTGTGTTCATGTCATGTAGCCCTTATTTTACTTCATAATGGCCTCGAAGTGCAAGAGCTGTGATGCTAGCATATGGTTATAATTGATCTATTTTATTATTAGTTATTGTTGTTAATCTCTTCCTATGCCTAATTATAAATTAAACTTTATCACAGGTAAGTATGTATAAGAAAAAACATAGTATATGTAGGGATTGGTGCTCTCTGAGGTTTCAAGCATCCATTGCAGGTCTTGGAATGCATCCCCTGCCGACAGAGGGGGACGACTGTACCAATTTATATTGAGCTCATAGTCAACGAAAGCTCCTAAATCTTTCCCATGAGTCTAAGTAGTATACCATAATCTTCCCACATTGTATTTCTGAAGTTTTTGTTTTTTAACCTATGTTTCCAGAATTTATAATCTTTTCAGACTTGGCCCATATTTTCAGCTTGCCAATTTTGTTTGTATAATCTGCCATCCAATGCTTTAAGCCCATCACCTACAAATTTAATCAACACACAGTCCACTAGAAAGTCCATGAAAGGCTTTGGTCTGTTCTGTTCACTCTTCTATCTGTGTTGCCCAAGCAGTGTCTGGACCAAAGTAGTACCAAGTACCCTTTGCAGGGGGAATGATACATGAGTTAATAAGTGGTGTGCCATAACTCTATTCTCTCACCTCTTTTCTCTATTCCAAACATATCTGGTGAAAGTCTTATTTCTGGTGTGGTGTTCTATGGCCTTTGCTCAGAGGAATTTCATCATATGTGTATTAAGCTCTGAGGTTCAAGATTACCGAACTAGCTGGCATTGAGGATAAGAAAGGCCACATTTAGCAATGTTTAAAAAACTTCTAATGACAAAAATGTAAAAACAGATCTGGGCAAAGAAGTCTTGCTGGATTTTCATTAGACCATTAATTACTACCTCTTAGGAATAGTTGTTCAAAATTTATAAATTCATCCAACTTCACTCTCATCCCAGCCTTATTTCTCCTTCCATAAGAGTATCATGAGAGACATGAAATTCTTTGCTGAAAATTTCAGGGTAATAGGTAGACTAAAATCCCAAATTTTAGCAAAAAGATGTTGAAAACATTTTGTGTTCATTAAAAAAAATGGTTAATCGATGTTTCTTAACTAATCTATGGTTTAAAATTTATATCTCTAGATAAGAGTTGAGCATTTCAGGATTTTAAACCAAGATCTGGAAGGCCAAGATGTAACTTGGCCAGGTTCAAATATGGGGCTTGCTAGAAGCACAATAACCTGGGTTGGTGGTGAGGAGAGAAAATTGGGTTCCCAGAGAAATAAATTTAACCCACAATTGCCTCCCTTAGATGGCAGTACCACACCTACTGCTTGAAGAAATATGGCAAATTTTGCCAGGTCACAGTACCCAGGAAAACTCAGAGTGGTGGCTAAGGTATGGTCTTAGACTATAAGAGGTCAGGAGGACGGTGGCATGCTGTTTATGGGCAATCAACTCACTCACAATTGACCCACTCAGCTAATGACAGTGGTAAGGAGCAATACCTAGTCTCTGGGAGGAAGGGACCAGAACTGGTAGCCAGTCAAGGCTTATGTAACACTGAGAATCAGGGAAGGATTCCAGTTATAGTGAGGAAGAGAGGCAGACGCTCAGGACCTTTGACTCTGGCCAACAGGGGGACCTAGGTGTGGCGAGTGTCATCTTAAAGGGAAGGCAGGTACCCAGAGCTCACCACCAGGCACACTAAACAGAGCTAGCAATGTAACAAGATTGTTCTCAGGTCCCAGAGATCAGTGGCATTTTGCTTTTAAGGAAAATAATCTTCCTTACGCTGCAATACTGGCTCAGTGGCTAGCACTGTGGAAGTCCAGGCTGGCTGAAAGTCCCAAATGCCACTACATGTTCTAGCCTGCCCTCTGGGAATTCTTTCTTTTCTAAAGCCCTGACAATACACTTGCAGAAGAGATGAAACCCCACCTGCATTTCTTGATATTTCAGTCTCTTGCCCTGAATTTTGGGGTTCGTAGAGGTGTGTTTGACTTGTTTCCCTCAACACACACACACACACACACGCACACACGCACGCACGCACACGCACGCATGCATGCACACACACACACCATCAGCAGAGTGTTTGTCCTCCACATTATTGAGGACTTGTGGGCAGCTGGTGTCACAGAGGGCTCTTCATCATTCCCTGCTCTCTCACAACGTGCTGTGCTAGCTCTGCTGGGGCTACTACTTAGCACTCATAATTACTTGTCACTTCATTAAGACCTTGGTCCATTCTATCCATGACCTCTGATAACTCCCATTTTTAAATGCAGGCTGTAGTGGCCAAGATATCTTTCTAACCGGAACACAGAATTTTCTCTGTTATCTCAAGGAAGAAGTAAGTACCATACAGGGTGCAAAGGGCCCACTTGAAAGACAGGAGCTCACCGTTGGCTGCTAATGTTAGGTTTGCAGTGTGCACTTAATTTTGAATGTGAAGTTATTAAAAATAACTTGAAACCAGGGGGTTACTGACTAAGAAAAATATCAGATACAATCACTTTCAAATGAAAGTAAAACAAACATTCCAAATATTTAAAAAAATTCTGTGCCCTTGTTCCCTTTCATTTCAATAAATCTGTGCCTCTCAAAATTGGATCTCTAGACCTCCAGAGTTCTATAAAATATATTCTCAGAGATGTTAGGTTCTCTCAAGGATTACTTTTTTTAGATTTTGTGTTTTTTTATATGGTAACCTTGAATAATTGATATAAACATGTTCTGGATCATAAGGACAATCACCTCACTGCTGGGCAACTTCAGAGACATTTGTGCTTGAGGTGTTTGACTTAACTGGCAACAACATTATTTTTTCTTGAGCTTGGCTGAAAGAACAGAGGCATGATGTACGTCCTCTGCATGAAGGCCACTGGATGCCATACCAGGAATAAGAATTTCACCATATATATTTGCAACAGAGAAAACAGGCAGGAGAATTGAGTTATTACATGCCACTTGGTAATTCATGTATTTATTTCCTCAGCAAAGAGTGTTCAGCACCTGACACATATTTTATTCTAGTTGTTGTTTAGGCAGTGGAGGTAGAAGAATTAACAAAAGAGACAAAGTCCTTGTCTGCCATGGAACACACTTTCCAGCAGACAGCATTCTGCTGATGGCCCACTGCTCACTGTCCCATCATCTCACTGTGAGCAGCCAGTTCCTGAAGCAAAGAAACATCTGTTCAAGTGAAATCGCTGTGATTCATTTCAGATTTATTGCTGTTCCACTTTTGTTTGTATTTAATTTTGTTAAAATTGTACTTTTGTTTGAAAATGCATTCTACATAGTCATATGTAAGCTACAAACACAAGAAGTTCTTTGATTTTTAGATTTGTCTTCTATGTAAGCATGGAGACTAGGTATCTATATATTACAGAAATAGATATGCAACAGTTTGTGAAGTCATTCACATGTCAGCTCAGATGTTCCCACCTCAGAGGCCTCCCTGACCACCCCACCTAAGAGCTCCTTTGCCACCTCCTCCCATTATTATATAACACTGTTTTATTTTCTTTATGTCACTGATACTACAGGGGTCTTCAACAAGTTCAAGGAAAATGTGTATTATGAAAAAACTATGCATGGATTTCAAAAAATTTTTGCACCAAAATAAACTCGTACTAATTTGTTATAATGTGACCAAGCAGAATCTAATTTGAGGCACTGAGAAGGATAAGATATCACTTTGAAAAGAGCCCCTATCTGAGCAACATGAAATCTGCTAAGACTGAAGCAAGAACAAATATCAAGTTTATGGTGAAGCCTGGGGGGAAGAATGGTGAAATCACTGATGCTTTACAAAAAGTTTATGGGGACAATGCCCCAAAGAAATCAGCAGTTTACAAATGGATAACTCGTTTTAAGAAGGGATTAGACAATGCTGAAGATGAAGCCTGCAGTGCAGGCCATCCAAGTTTAGCTAACTTTTTGCCTCATGGGTGCCAAAACTGTGTGCCCAGATCAGCTGCAGATGAGAGCAGAGCTTTTGATGGAAATTTTAACCAAGTGGGGTCAAGATCCTGAAGCATTTCTTGGAAGAATTGTAACAGGAGATGAAACATGGCTTTACCAGTACAATCCTGAAGACAAAGCACAATCAAAGCAATGGCTACCAGGAGGTGGAAGAGATCCAGTCAAAGCAAAAGCAGACTGGTCCAGAGCAAAGGTCATGGTAACAGATTTTTTTGGATGCGTTCTCACTGCTCACATACCGATTTTGCTTGTTGACTTTCTGGAGGGCCATAGAACAATAGCATCTCTATATTATGAGAGTGCTTTAGGAAAGCCAATCTTTAGCAGAAAAACACCTGGGAAAGCTTCACCAGAGAGTCCTTCTCTACCATGACAATGCTCCTGTTCATTCCTCTCGGCAAACAAGGGCAATTTTGCAAGAGTTTCAATAGAAAATCATTAGCCATCCAACTTACAGTCCTGATTTGGCTCCTTCTGGTTTCTTTTTGTTTCCTAATGTTAAAAAATCTTTAAAGGGCACTCATTTTTTTTCAGTTACTAATGTAAAACAAAATGGCATTGACAAAGTTAAATTCCCAGGACCCTAAGATCATTAGGGATGGACTAAATGGCTGGTGTCATCGCTTACAAAAGTGTCTTGCACTTGATGGAGCTTGTGTTGAGAAATAAGATTTATACTTTTTATTTTTATTTTTATTTATTTATTTATTTATTTTTGTCTTTTGTCTTTTTCCGTGTCCGGCAATGGATCGCAACCCTCAGTGTTGCCCCCGTACTGGACCAGGGACCGGCAACAGGACTGCAACCCTTGGTGTTGCTTCCGCTCCTCGCTCAGCCAGTGAGCGGGAACCGGTCTGTATGTGGGATCCGAACCCTCGGGAGGGAGCGCCGCCGCGCTTCCCAAGCGGCGCACTATCCAGTGCGCCACCGGGCCGGCCCTTATTTTTATCTTTTAATTCCATTTTCTATGAACTTTTGAAGTTTTCTTGTATCTGAAATTATGATGCACATTTATTTGTTTGTTAGGAAACTGTCTCATCCTGCCCCACCTCCAGCCCCCTGCCAGCTGCATGAGAGCTGGGATCTTGTCTGTCTGGTGCACTGTCATAACCCTTGTAACTAGAACAATTTCTAGCACATAGTAGGTGCTTATTAAATATTTTTGAATGAATAAATAAATGATATGAATATTATACTGCAGTATTATCATAGAGTGACATTAATTATTTCACATGAAAGTGTCTTTACCTGTTCGCCAGTGAAATTCTGAATAAAGGTCATATCTGTAGAGTTAATGATTGAGACCTGAAATCATAGACATTAGATGGGCATATCATTTGACACAGAACTGGAAAAAATCTTGTAAAAATTGCAACTTAAATCATTTAAAAATTTTTGCAAAGACTGATAAATGGTTAGCTATATTTAAAACAAAAATGCAAGCCCATAAGAATGACCTAAAAAAAAAAAAGCTAATTAAACTTTCTGTTTATGGTTAAGTCTGAAATACCTACACAAAATGCATGCCTAATAATCTGAAGTGGCGAAATAAAAATTGAATTCAAGAATGCTGAGAGCAATTAACATGATGGTCAGTTAATTTTTTTAATCAGGATTTTTGTCTAAATCCATTTCTGTTCTTATGCTATTACAAGAATTAATAATTATGGTTCTTTGCAAAAGAAAAAAAAAGAGATTTTTTTTTCCTTTTTGTATTTTTTTACTGACTGGTAATGGGATCGCAACCCTCGGTGTCGCGCCCGTACCGGGGACCGGCAACGGGATCGCAACCCTCGGTGTTGTGCCTGCCCCACGCTCAGCCAGTGAGCGAGAACCGGTCTCCACATGGGATCTGAACCCTTGGTGGGAACGCCGCTGCGCTCCCAAGCGGCGCACTCTCCAGTGCGCCACCAGGCCGGCCCAAAAAAAGAGATTTTAAAATGCCATCCATAGAGCAAAACTATTCCTTTTAATTCTATAAATAGACCCCAAATCTATAAACATTATGTATTTTCTAGATATTTTTTAAAAGATAACCACTATTTAAAATATGGTTTTCTTTTTGTAAGATCTATTTACTTTCTTTTCCTAATTCCATCATAATTAACTATAGTGGGCTTGAAGAGTACTCCCCACCAAATTCATGTCTACCAGGAACCTCAGAACATGACTGTATGTGGAAATGGGGTCTCTGTAGATAAAATTAGTCAAAGATCTCAAGCTGAGACCATCCTGGTCAGACATTAAATCCAATGACTGGTGTTCTTATAAATACAGAGGAAAGAAGACCATATGAAGACGTAGGCAGAGATTGGAAGGAGGCTGCTGCAAGACAAGAAACAAATATCAGGAGCCACCCAGGAGCCACCAGGAGCTGAAAGAGGAGAGAAGAATTTTCTTCTAGATGCTTTGGAGGGAGCATGACCCTGTCCACATCTGGATTTTTAGATGTCTGTTCTCCAGAACAGTGAGAGAATAAATTTACATTGTTGTAAGCCACCCACTTTGTGATAATTTGTTATGACAGTCTTAGGAAACTAATACATTAGTGAAATAACAATTGATTTCATTATTTCTACCATCTGAGACATATTAAAGTGTTTATCATAACTATGACATTTTCCACAATTATTTCTAGATTATGTACTTGGGTTGGGCCCACTTCATGGGTGTGTGACCTGTGCAGTCAGAAGGGTTCCACTTGGTGTAATATTCAGTTGTCACTGTCCTGAAAGATTGAAAAATTTTTGAACAAGGGGGCCCCACATTTTCATTTCGCACTAATTAAGTAGCTGATCCTACACACAGATCAGAACAAATCTAGGCTCATTTATTTTTCTTCCTTTTTAGTAAGCAAACAGCATGAATCAGGAGGGGGAGCTCATGATTAAAGGAAGTTTTAAAAGACTTAAAAGTTGCATGAAAGAAAACATTTCTTTACATATACAAGAAAATATCCTATAATGCATTCTCATTACTCACATATCCAAAATTCTGTGCTCCTCTTGGAACTCCAGCAACCAATTCTGGGGATAAACGTAGTCATTTAGAAGGGGAATTACATATATGTTTTAAAGCCAGGTAACAAATAAGTGGTAAGGACAGTGCTTTTTAAATAAGTGACCATCATGCAGTGGTTGGAAGTTTCAAGTCAGGCCTCTGCATTTACTTTTTTTATTAACTTTTGCTTCTTCCACAGACAATAGAAAACAAAAGAATAAAAGTCATATTTTGAGATTTGGTAGTCTTCATCTCCAGTTTCCATGGATTTCTGCCTCTAGATCACCAGCCTGGATTCTCAGGTCTGCATGTAATTTATAAGTTAAACCTCTCACTCTGATTTCTCTGGCTTTCACTATGGTGACATCATTTGCACTAATATAAAAATTACAGCTCCTGTCATACTAACATGTTAAAACAATTTTGGTTACCTAAGGAAAACCCATATGACATCAATTATAGGAGGCTGGCCTCCAAGAACTGTTTGTGGGCAGCTGCATTAGGGGAAGCCTGGCAGCCAAGAGTACCCTGGGAAGGGAGCTTCAGTAGCAGAGACATAGGAGGCAACTCTGGGGAAAGGGGCAACATATTCCAATGGACAGTGACTGGGTTCTGGATTCAGAAAACAATGGTTCTAGTCTTGGGTCTGCCACACACCTGGGATGAGTCACTGAACCTAGTTTTTCCCAATCACCTGCAATATGTGGGAGTTAGAATAGCAGGTTGTCAAAAATTGTTCTAGCTCTCATTTTTATAAATGTAAACTATCTTTCATCTCATTAGGGTTTAAGAATTAGTATAATTTTTTTTTAAAGAAGAGCCTAGACGAGACTCTTCTTCTATCCAAGGTTCCTGCCATCCAATACTGCCCCTAAAGGTACAGTACAAATTCTAGCATTAAATATATCTGCTGTGCTTGCTGTAGCAGAGTTGGCTGCTTATGCTGTCAGCACTAATAATCAGAGAAGATTTATTTGGGGTTAGATGTTGGATATTTCAGTAGCAAATCCACTCATTCAGTCAAAAAATTTTTGTAGGTGACCATAGGACATAGCAGTGAACAAAACAATCCCTGCTCTTATGGACCTTACAATTTAAAAACTAGAGTCATTTAAATGGTATATTGGAAATAGGATAACTGTAATGGAGAAAAACTAAGCAGTAAACTGGTACAGGGAGTGCTGAACTTGGAATGGGGAAGGAATTGCAAATTATTAGGGTAGTCAGGGAAGGCCTTAGTGAGAAGGTAACATTGGAGCAACGATTAAAGAAACGGAGGATGTACATATTGTGGGTATGTGGGAGAAGCATGTTCTGGTCAGTGGGAACAGCAAGTACAAAGGCCCTGAGGTAGGAGTGTGTCTGGAGTATTCAAAGAATAGCAAGGAGGCAGAGAGGCTTGAGTAGAGAGAGTGAGAGCTAATGAGCAGGAAATGATGTCAAATCAGAAGCCAAATGAATAGAGCCTTCTAGGTTAGTGTGAAGACTTGGATTCTAGGCTGAAGGAGTTGGGAAGTGATCAGGAGCAAAGAAATTACCTGATCTGCCTTCTGTTTCTAAAGGAGCACTTTGCTCCTGGATTTAGGATAGACTGTAGGAGGGCAAGGGTGAAGGCAGGGAGACCACTCAGGAAGCTATTGCAATAATATACGGGAGAGATGATGGAAGCCTGGATCAGGGTAGAAGCTGCAGAGGAAGTGACAATTGGATAGTTCATCTGCTTGTATTTTGAGAGTGTAGTTAACAGAATTTGCTTATGGATTGGGTATGGGGTGAGAGAAAGCACAGTCCCAGGCAAACTCCCAAGACTTTTGGCTTGAGTAATTAGAAGGATGACATCACCACTTACATTGCAACTAGGACAATGGCATCACACTTACCTTGCAACTGGGAAAATGGCATTGCCACTTACATTGCAACTGGGAAAATGGCATTGCCACTTACATTGCAACTGGGAAAATGGCATTGCCACTTACATTGCAACTGGGAGGATAACAACGGAGGGTAGAGCACATTTTGGTGGGAAGGTCAGGCACTTTAAGTTTGAGATAGCTATTTAAATAGAGATATTGAGTACAGAGTTGGATACATGAGCCTGTAGTTCAGTCTAAGCTGAAGAAAGAAATGAAACTGGGTGAGATTACCAAGACAGAACTCAAATAGTTAAGAAACAGTCCAAGAATTTAGCCCTGGGACACTCCAATGACCTGAGGGAAATTTAAGTGGAATCAGTAAGAGATCGAGAAGGAGCTGGGTCTGGAAAGCGAAGTGGAAAAATGAGGAGGGAGGGACTGACTCTGTTAAATGCTCCTGATATTCAAGGAAGATGAACTACAGAGGCTACTGGTTTGCTTGACAAGAGTCATTTCAAGAGCAGAAGGTGCACAGGAGCGGGTTAAGAGCAGGAGAGCCGAGGAACCAGCAGAGCGTACAGGCAGAGAAGAGTGACAGCTCTTTGGAAGCAGAGAAAGACAGGTGGTCGCTGGAGGGGGAAGTGGGATAAGAGTTTTTTAAGATGGGAGCAATAACAGTATGCTTGTATGTTAGTGGGAATGATCCAGGAGAGAGGGAACAATTGATGATGGGAGACAGGGAGGGAAGAATGCTGGAGTCTCATCTTCGAGTCACGAGAGGGAATGGGATCTGGTGCAAAGCAGAGGGTTGGCCTTAGATAGGAGCATGGACAGTTCATCTACAGCAAAAGGAGAGCATGTTCTTGAAGAATAAAATGGGGATCACAAAACTAAGCCATCTGGATAGATAGTCAGGGAAGCTGCCAGAACTGGTAGTACACTGCCCAGTTCTCAATATTCTTTTTTTTTTTTGGTATAAATTAAATTTTCCTGACACTAAAAACAAACCACAATCAGATATAATGGAGTTGACTGATTTCAGGATCAGGCATGTTAGCCAGGACAGATTTAGGTGATTAAGTCATTTGAAATATATGGCAACCACTACTTCTTGCATGCCACAAACATTTAGAATTTTGTTTAAAAAAAAAATCAGCCATCACACTGAGTAACTTTGGAATCTGCACCCTCCTGTGACCACACCACTAATGAGTCAGTAAATGTATGTTAATTAAAGATGTTCGTAGTCATTTATAAATGACCAGGACAGTTTAATGCTTGAGGTCTGAGGCAAGTTAGAACTGTCACTCAACTACAAAAATATTCAGTTGAAAGGGAAAATAGGAGAATTCTTAGATCCATTCCACTAACTCATAGTGTGATTTTTAAAAACCTCCTGGATTTATACCCTGATGTCACTATTTACTAGCTCCGTGACCTTGGACAAATAACCTGACCCCTGGGTTCCTCCATTTCTTTATTCCTAAAACAGGGATGGTAATGATAATGGTATCATCTACCTCATAGGATTCTCATGAGGCTTAAATGAATTAATTTTATATATTTGTAAAACAGTACCATGCCTGACTGGATTATACCTACTCCTCTGCATTATATTAAGAGGTTTCTTAATATCAACATTGTATTCAGAAAAAATTTAGATACTTGACCTGGAAATACATGACTTGGGCATCGAACCCACTAGTGAGAAGCAAAACGGAGGCTAGCATTTATCAAATGTCTCCTATCCACTAAACAACGTATCATGTGCTTTATAACATTTCCCTCATTTAGCCTCTGAAAAGGAGGCATTAATATCCCATATATGGGGAAACTGAGGCTTAGAAAGGGTCTGTCACTGTACATAGTTGGCAAGTAGTAGAAGTCAAGAACTGATACAAAGTCAATGTTCTTTTTTTATTTTTATTTTTTATTTTAATTTATCAATATACAACATAGTTGATTTTCGTTTCTCTTTATCAATTCCTCCAAGTCAACATTCTTTCTACTGCATTGAATTACTTTCCTGGGATTGGTGAGGGCCAGATCACTTTCTTGGGTTTTAGCTCACCACATCTGACTCTACAATGGGAATGGAGGCTCTTCACCTCTTTTGAGTCATGAACACATTTGAAAGTTTGAAGAAAGCTATGGATTTGCTCACCAGAAAAATTTACATACATACTAACCTTGCATGTAACTTCTTGGGGTTCAAATCCAGTGAAGCCCATCCATGTACCACCCAATAGTTGAAGAATTCCATCCTTCCTCTAGAGGACATAAATTGCTCACTCTTTTTCATACAATTCTCACTGTCTTGACTAAGTAAACAGTGAACACAGACAGCCTTGGATTCTTAGTGGTCTGATATGCTCAAATCACTTAAAACTTTTCTAGATATTTCTGAGATCCAATGGAAAATCATTATCATTTTTTGCCATCTTTCCCTACAATATGCTGTTGTGTATCATTACTGATTTTCTTGCATCAGGACTGAATAGTATTCTGCAGAACTTTCCAACAAGAGCCCTAATGCCATGTTAAAAAAAATCATTTGGTAGCACATTTTACAGTTTTCTTTGCTAAATCATTAAGTGCATGACTGTAAGTTCTGACCTTTTAAAGATAGTAATTATTCAATTCTATCTTTGATGGCTCCTAATCCAATTATTCTTTCTTAACTCAGCTAATAGTACTCACTATGTATCAGGCATTGCACTGTTTTATAAATATATGGAATTAACTCATTTAATCCATGCAAGAATCCTATGAAGTAGATAATACTATTATCATCATCATCTCTGTGTTTATAACTTTATCCTAGCACTGATCACCATTTTTAATCAGGTAATTTGTGTTTTTTATTTAATGTTATCAGCCACAGTAGATTGTAAACTCTGAGATTAAGGACAATTTGCTTACCTGTCATGCTCAACACTCAACACAGAGCCTGGCACATAGTAGGTACACAATAAAATGTTTGACAAATGAATGACAGTAAATGTCTTAGGAGGGAAAATAATGAAACGATACAGGAGTTTACAGAAGGAAGCTAAAAAAGGATTTCTAGAGAAGAAATTAAAATCAGCCTCAAAAAAAAAAAAATTAGCATTTGACCATTGGTAGATGGGGGTGGATAAAGGATCTGATGACTGAAAACATAGATGCAGCCAAAGCAAAGTACAGAAGACAGAAGATGAGAGCCATATACTTGAATCGGGGTTAGTTTGTTCTGTTACTTTGGATGTGGGCATGTCCAGAGGGAAAAAAGAAAATAATGTAGGATGTCGGATGGGAGTCAGGTTGGGAGTATAGTTTTAGACATATCCAATATGAGATCCTAGAAATTAAAGTAAAAAGAGAGATCTCTATTTCTCAAATTTGATCTGTCACCAGCAGCATAGTTTTTGTCAAAGTCATTTAATCATCTGTATATTTTCCATTCATAACATGGACTACTGCTCTAATTTTTTATTGCTTAACAAGATTTGATATAGATTGATGTTGATTCTTAGGAAATTCTTTGGGGCTTAGAAATAAAATACTGCACCAAAGTGCACTTTTTTTCCCTACAAAATATTAACGTATACATTCTGGGATTCCACTTATATACATTTTGCATAGTAGAGAGAATCACTTTTGATGACATTTTACCTTTTGCACGTGCTTTATAAATAACTTAAATTCAGTGACTCCTCTCACCTTGCTGAGAGTCTCCAGTAAATTCCCCAGCAGCAACTGAATATCCTATTTTGAAGAAAAGAAACAAACTAATCATACTCAACAACTTAACAGATGAGTTATATCCAGAAAAAATAAAAGAACTGCCATAGTACTGCTTTATTATGAAGTCTCTACACACATTATAAAATAAAAGTTAAGGATCCTATAAAGGGAAATTTAATCACATCAATATGAACACTTTTATACTACATCCTGGAAGCATAACACTACCGATTATAAGTAGA